CTATCTAATCTAACATGTTCCCAGGTATCCTATCTAATCTAACATGTTCCCAGGTATCCTATCTAATCTAACATGTTCCCAGGTATCCTATCTAATCTAACATGTTCCCAGGTATCCTATCTAATCTAACATGTTCCCAGGTATCCTATCTGATCCTGTCTATTCTATTTTTTAAAGAATTTCGACTACTGAGGATCACCATGAGAAGTAAAATATTATGTTCGGTATAATTCTTTTGAATAAAATGTGTAGTTTAAAAACTGAGATGATCTATCTATATATATTTACTAGCTAAAGTGACCGGCGTTGCCCGTGAAATAAAAAATCGAATAAAAAAAAGATTTTAACAGTTTTTAGCCTACGTATGTTAGCACCAAGGTACCCATGGGTTCCCTATAACTAGAGCTCCTCAGTCAATATTTTAAGCAGATCAGTCAAGGGGTTCTTGAGTTATGACCGGACATGCGATCAAAGAAACAGAGATTACTACTTGGTTTGTCTTACTGTACTCTTGAAACGTCAAAACCTCTATACCGATCAAGCCTAATTTTATGGTGTTACTTACGTAACCCCAGGAAAAGGTTTATGGCTGTGCAAGTCGAAATTAAAAAAAATCCTCCAACAAGTTTTTAATAGAAAAATTTGGTCACATTTTTTAAAATTGTAACAAGAATTTTATACAAAGTTAGCAGTATCTTTATACCAAATTAATATTAGTCATTGTTCAAAGTAATCCAACAAATATTACTTTTTCAAAAAAATCTGAATTCCTTATCAAAACTAATAAGCATAAAAAAGCAATATTTGTTGTTATAAGAGCAATATTTGTTGCTATTAGAGCAATATTTGTTGTTATTAGAGCAATATTTGTTGTTTTTAAAGCAATCTTTGTTGTTATAAGAGCAATATTTGTTGTTATTAGAGCAATATTTGTTGTTATTAGGGCAATATTTGTTATTATTAGAGCAATATTTGTTATTATTATGGCAATCTTTAATGATATTAGAGTAATAAATGTTGTTTTTAAAGCAATTATTGTTGTTAATAGAGCAATATTTGTTATTATTAAAACAGTATTTGTTGTTATTAGAGCAATATTTGTTGATCTGGAGCCGAGTGTAATAGATGAGGTTAGAACTGGGACCTACAGAGCTCTCTTCCACCCGGAACAACTTATTTCAGGTGATAATCAATCAAGGAGTTAAAAAAGTAGTTCAACAAGTAGCTCAACAAGTAGTTCAACAAGTAGTTCAACAAGTAGCTCAACAAGCAGTTCAACAAGTATTTCAACAAGTAGTTCAACAAGCAGTTCAATCATGTAGTTCAACAAGTATTTTAACAAGTAGCTCAACAAGCAGTTTAATCAAGTAGTTCAACAAATATTTCAAAAAGTAGTTTAACAAGTAGTTCAACAAGCAGTTCAATCAAGTAGTTTAACAAGTAGTTCAACAAGTAGTTCAACAAGTAGTTCAACAAGTGCAAGTAGTTCAACAAGTAGACCGCAATTGTAAACAATCAGTTTTCAGATATAATTCTCCTCATTGCTGCTAAACCAACTCTTTTAATAGAGAACTGCTTTAAATTACTTATAAAGCCCTCCCATAAAAGTTCCATATTATTTACTTTTACTGATATAAAGTATGATTAAAATGAAACTAAATGTGCGCAGGGAAGGAGGATGCCGCAAACAATTATGCGCGGGGCCATTACACTATAGGAAAAGAGATAGTCGATGTTGTTCTTGAAAAACTCAGGTATTTAAGTGTTTTTTATATTCGACAAACAGTATTTCATAAAATCAAAGATTCGAATAAAAGATGCAAAGTGCTTACCAATTTGGAACTGAGTTTTTGTCACAAACTCTGATTTTCGAATCTCTATATTTGTGCAACCCGATGTTGTAGACCCTTGATATTAAAAACTATGAAGTCTAAGTTTGAAATATCAAAAGTTTGCACTATTAGGTTGCAAAGATATAGGAATTAGAAAGTTTGACTTTGTGGTAAAAACTCAGTTCTTTTACCGGGTATAAAACCAATCTTGGAATATTTGTGTAAAATTGAAAAAATATATATTTTATCACATTCTTTGCATTTATTAGGTATTATATTACAAATGTAAATATTATTTTAAACCTAGTTGATTTATTTATGCATCTTGCCAGCTTAAATACTTTAATAAAAATGAGTAAACATTTCTTCAATTCTGCAATCTTAAATTTTAGGAAGCAAGCTGAATCCTGCACTGGGCTTCAGGGTTTCCTCATTTTTCATTCTTTCGGCGGAGGAACTGGATCAGGGTTCACCTCTCTTCTTATGGAAAGATTATCTGTAGATTATGGGAAGAAATCTAAACTTGAGTTTTCCATATATCCTGCTCCTCAGGTTGGTTTTTATTATTATATTCTCTACATATCGTTCAATCATTAAACCCCTTTATTTCCTGTTTTATTTTACCTTTTAAACCGTAAGTTAAAGAGAAGATGATGGATAACTCATGCAATTTTTATTGAGCTGTTAATCATATCATAATGTAAATCGAAATGTGAATGGAGGACCATTAAAATACCTGAAAAAAGTACACGTTTTTGTATTGCAGGTTGCTACTGCTGTGGTTGAACCTTACAACTCTATCCTGACTACCCACACCACCCTGGAGCACTCAGATTGCGCCTTTATGGTAGACAACGAGGCTATCTATGATATCTGTAAAAGGAACTTGGACGTTGAGAGACCTTCATACAGCAATCTTAACAGGTCAGATTTTGATAAAATTTAAAAAATGTTTTTAGAAAATAGTTTTTTCTTCAGATTGATCAGTCAGATTGTATCAAGCATCACTGCATCATTGAGATTTGATGGCGCATTAAACGTTGATCTTACAGAGTTCCAGACAAACCTGGTTCCATATCCCAGGTAACAGAGTTCCAGACAAACCTGGTTCCATATCCCAGGTAACAGAGTCCCCGACAAACCTGGTTCCATATCCCAGGTAACAGAGTTCCTGACAAACCTGGTTTCTTATCACAGGTAACAGAGTTCCAGACAAACCTGGTTCCATATCACAGGTAACAGAGTTCCAGACAAACCTGGTGCCATATCACAGTTTACTTGGTTCCAGACAAACTTGGTTCATAACCCAGGTANAGAGTTCCAGACAAACCTGGTTCCATATCCAAGGTAACAGAGTTCCAGACAAACCTGGTTCCATATCCAAGGTAACAGAGTTCCAGACAAACCTGGTTCCATATCCCAGGTAACAGAGTTCCAGACAAACCTGGTTCCTTATTCCAGGTAACAGGGTTTCAGACAAACCTGGTTCCATATCCCATGTAACAAGGTTCCAGACAAATCTTGTTCCATATCCCAGGAAACAGGGTTCCAGACAAACCTGGTTCCATATTCCAGGTAACAAGGTTCCAGACAAATCTTGTTCCATATTCCAGGAAACAAGTTTCCAGATAAACCTGGTTCCTTATTCCAGGAAACAAGGTTCCAGACAAATCTTACTTTATATTCCAGGTAACTGCAAGGTTCCAGACCTGGTATTATATAGACACTAGGCATTCCTTATTACTTATTTTGATTTTACCTAATGAAATGACAGCCATGAATAAAATGATATTTATTTAGGATTCACTTCCCTCTTGTTACCTATGCTCCAGTACTCTCCAGTAACAAGGCAAACCATGAGAGCCTGACTGTGGCGGATATCACCAACTCGTGTTTCGAGCCAGTAAATCAGATGGTTAAATGTGACCCTAGGTTTGTCTAATGTTTGCAATAAAAACTATTAAAAGAGGAAACATAATGATTGATTATGAAAGTTTAAAATTCAAATAAACGTAAGTTAAAACTTACAAAATATCGCAGGTATTGTCAAAAACTGTTGCATGCCTGATTCACAACATTACCCTTTAAACATTTTTATTACTAAGAATGAAGAAGATATCGTTGTTGTTTTATCTGGAAAAAGTTGTAAAGATAACCACAGTTAGTTTTAGAATATCGATTTTAGGACCGGTAGAATAATAGACTTCATAGTTTTACTTCATAGAGTACCATTTAGAATCGGGCATGCCCGTCTGTAATTTGTAATTATGTCAACAGTCCCTTTAATTCAGTTAAATCTGATATTAGGCATGGGAAGTACATGGCATGTTGTCTCTTGTACCGTGGAGATGTTGTACCGAAGGATGTTAACACAGCCATTGCCTCGATCAAGAACAAGAGATCTGTTCAGTTTGTGGATTGGTGTCCCACAGGGTTCAAGGCATACACTTTACATAATATTAACTAATATACATCTTTAGATTCTATTGTATTGATTGATTGATTGATTGATTGATTGATTGATTGATTGATTGTCTGACTATAGTTGGTTTTGTATCATGCCTAAAAGGCAAAGTCCGAAAACATCGAAAACATGGCAAGCATGGCAAAAATTAAAAAGTTCTCCCTGACAAAAAGTAATACTTATATTTTGAGAAATGTTTTCTTTTTTTATCAATTGATTTCCATCTTTGATCAATTGATATCCATCTTTGATCAATTGATATTATCTTTGATCAATTGATATTATCTTTGATCAAATCAATTGATATCCTTTTTTGATAAATTGATTTCCATCTTTGATCAACTAATATCCATCTTTAAAAATTGATTTCCATCTTAGATCAATTGATAACGATCTTTGATCAATTGATTTACGCCTTTGATCAATTGATTTCCATCTTTGATCAATTGATTTCCAGCTTTGATCAATCGATTTACATCTTTGATCGTTTTATTTATAACTTGGATCAATTGATTTTTATCTTTGATCAATTAGTGAATTAATTTCCATATTTACTCAATTGATTCACATATATATGTAGGTTGGAATCAACTACCAGCCTCCAACTGAGGTTCCTGGAGGAGATCTTGCTAAAGTTGCTCGTGCGGTGTGTATGCTCTCCAATACTACAGCAATAGGTAAGGTTTTCATCAACATTTCAGGGGCTTCGCGCCATACTTTCTTGTAATATTACGTATACCCCTTAAATGTTGCATTTTCTCCTTGATAAACTTTTGTTCTCTACCATCTTCGTACAATAAATAACTTTCTAGCTGGATTCTGTATTATGCCACACGTACAGTATTTTAACTAATTAACTTGATTCAGTTTTATGTTAAATTTAGAGTATTTTGAAAAATTTATTCAGTGTAACATTTTTGAACTGTGAATTGCGATAAATCTTTCTTAGGGTCATATGAGGTCTAAATTTTTTTTATACGATCGGTTCAGCCGCTTTTGCGTTTTTGGGAGACAAACAAAGAAACAGACAAGGCTATTTACATATCACACTTTGATGGGTGGCTTTAAATTCATTGTTTTACAAGAAAGTTTCATTTCTCTAAACTAAAATTTCTCCCGCAAAATACCCCTTGTTGCTAAACCTACTACCTAGCGGTTTCTATAAGGTTTGACTCTGTTCAAATGTGTCCGTTAAAAATTTAAAACATAAGTTAGGATAAAAATTTAAAAAATTTCTCTACTGAAAGTATATGTTGTGTAGGTGAAGCATGGGCCAGACTTGATCACAAGTTTGATCTGATGTATGCTAAGCGAGCCTTCGTCCACTGGTATGTGGGGGAAGGTATGGAGGAGGGAGAGTTTAGCGAGGCTAGGGAGGATCTGGCAGCCCTAGAGAAAGATTACGAGGAGGTTGGTCTGGATACTGTGGATCCGGAGGACGGTGAAGGAGGTTTGGAGGAGTACTAGAAGTTTGGCCAGGATACTCTGGATCCCGAGGACGGAGAAGAAGGTCTTGAAGAAAACCAGTTTATTGAAAGTTAAAAATCTCTTAACTATAGTTTTTTATTCTTTTCTACTAACTGAATAAATATTAACTCTTAATTGGGTGTTGCTCAAGAGAAATAACTGGGATCTCTAATGAATGAAGTAGTTGATCTACGTTTGCTAAGTTGAACCTTTTCCCTACCAGTTGAAGAAAAGTGGTTCAAATTAGACTACGTAGTTCAACTACTTCTCGATATTCATAATTTGTTGTCTCCGGTTTTCTAATAAAATCAGAGATTCAAGGAATGAAATGATTCAAGCTGAAAACTCATGACTTAAAAAGCCTTACTATTCAAAGACAACTGTGGCCTGAGAAAAAGACAATTTATTATCATTTAGAATTCCAACGAATAATGTTTATCTATGATTATTCATTTCGATTCAAAAAAAAAAGATCTTAAAATATCTTTTTTTATGTTTCAAAAAACATTTAAAAAGTTGCGACCGTAAAAAATTGTTTAAAACCTAAAAATTAACTATATATATAATTCTAATATAAAAATTTGGTAAAAAGGCTCAAAAGATTAATTGTTCCAAATGTACAATTCCACTCATTCTTTATATTACTTATCAATAACAGAAGAATAAAGTAAAAAATGTTATTTAACATTACAATAAGATAACNGAATATAATATATAATATATATATATAATATTACGAATTGTAGCGTAAGAGTCCAGTATATTTATAGGTCTGGGCGGAAACGGCTTGACCTGTTTCTAACGTTTCAAATTAAACCTAAATTTTATTACCCAACCGGAAACACGCTCAATTACACCCACTTACAACTACTCACTCCATGCTATAGGTCTGGAATACCAAGATTTATTTTATGGAAGGGATTACTGACCTAGCAACCCAGACTATGCTCAAACTTAACATCTTCTGTCCACAAAACTGATTTAAATCAGGGTTTGTTATTCTTCACAAAGATTTCTTAAATAAATGTTTATAAGATTTTTCAACTAAAAAGGGAGCGTTTTTTTAAAAGTCGGCATAACTTTTACGTTCGAGAATTTTTGATTTTTTATTTAAATTTTAAGCTGTCCTATTCATATGGGTGGGTTTAAAATTGATAAAAGCTATAATATGTAATTTTTTTAAGTCCCGGTTCCATTCCAAATGAACAATAATTGAGTTTAAACTGACTGTAATTGGGCTCAAATGATGTTGGGGTGGGGGGTTGTAAATGGGGGAATGATTGACAGAAATTGACGAGGAAAATTTTCTTTATTAAGATATCAGATATCTTGTATTGTGTATTTTACTTATCTAACAATAGTCTGTTTATCATAAAGATGGCTTTTCAGTTTTTGAACAAAATAAATGTATTCTTGTATTCAGTTTTAAACATCTTTTATCTGAAGAAGAACGTCGAAATAGTACGGAATTAAGGGGAAAACCACACAAAGATGGATATTGGGCACATGGCTTTAACCATGAAATAGCCCATGTACCCTCATAGAATAATGATTAATTTTGCGAACAAATATTTAAAAAATTTTTGATTAGACATTTGTGAATTATTGTATGCAAATGTCTTTTAAACAAATGATTTTAAAATGCCATAGGGAGCTTTTTTCCAATTTTAACAATTTTAAACCGTTTTTTAAGTACCTTCTTCCTAAAGCTCCACATCTTACTACAAAACCTAGGGAGCCTCTAAATCCTCCAAACTCCCCCAAACTCCTCCAAGTTCCCTCAAAACCCAAAAAAATGTTGGGTTTTAAATAAAATCGATTATAAAATTTAAACCGTCGCAAATAAATCACGGTTGGGAGGAGGAGGGAGGCCCCCATGTGTATTTTTCTAAATAACTTAAAAGGGTGCTTAAATTAGAACGTTAAAACTTCTTCACTTTTTAAACATCATAGTTGTGAACAAAAATTGGCAATACAATTTTTTTGATGCATTGGCATGGGTGAAGAGCAGTCAAACGGCGGGTCGGTGTTTTAAAAAAATCAGAAATGCTTCATAACTTTTTAATAGCCAAGCTACAGGGCTAAAATTTTTCGACATACTATTTGTTCTTTTTAAAAATCCTCCCTTGTACCCTAACCATTAAAATTAGAGGTCTAATTTATTTGAATGATAAGGCCTTAAAAAGTTGGACTAAGGACATGTATGACTTTCCTCTATGTCAACTCTAAGGGAAAAATCATAGGGGCCCAAAAGGCCCAAACCTATATTAGACAAAAATAGCCGGGATAGGGCTAAACTGTAGAGAAATCTTACCTATTTCCGCTTCCCCCATTGGTTTATCCCAACAACCGAATTTCGTTTCTTCTTATTGGAGATTCTTTCAAGTTCCCGAGTTCCTGATGAGTTTCCAATTTATTCCGGACAGGAAATAAGAATAAAGGGAAGGGAAATGACGCTGGTCTGGCATGATAAAGCCAGTAGCACTGCTTTTTAGACGAGTTCGTTATCACACACGCACACTCTTTTGGTACAGACACACACACATGACTACAGTCAAAGAAAAGGGCAGAACAATGTCGTAAATTACAATTAAGCTTGAATAGCGATTAGTTTATTGTAAACTTTAGTCAAATTATATTCTTTGCATATAAATTTGGAGAATATTTGAGAAACTCAGTGCATTGCTTTATTGATTTTTATTCATATACAATACTACCCGGTTTAGGGTTTCCTGCAGCGGAAAGGGGAAATCGTTTCGTGAAATTTCACATTTTCCGTGAGAAAAAAAATATTCGCCGAAATTTTCGCGAAAAAGATACGAAAATTTCGCAAAATAAAATACAGAAGAAAATTGTTAATTATAATAAAATAAAGTTTCTAATGCTAAGCTCTCAGAATACTACAAGTATATGTTTCGCAATTAATTGTAGCAGCTTCTATAGCTTCGAATGTTTTTTTTCGCGAAATACTAACGAAAATTTTCAAATTTTTTTGCGAAAGTTTTTGTTCCCTGGAATCCCTAATCCGGTTACATATAAGAAATTCAAAACAATTTTGTTATTCTCAATAGATTTTTAACAAGAGAAGTAATGATTGAAAATCTACAATATTTTAATCTTACGTCCAATTTCCTTTAGTATGACATGATACGGAATTATCGTCCAATAAACTTTGTTACACCTTTTAAGCATCTTGCAGGTAGATGTATTTATCGGTTAAGAAATATTCGCCCTTAATTTACAAAAGTTTAACTGGTTTATCATTCTCAAAGGAACTGGAAGCGTAGTTTAAAGTGACTCTCTATGTAAAGATGGCAATGCCCTATTTCGACAGTACCCTTGAAACCTTAATCTGATAAAAAAGTGTTTATTTCTGTTCTTTCTCCATTGCTTATTACATATAAACAAGAAACCAGTCACTTTCACAGAGAAACCGCAAATGAAAAGTGCATGGAGGGTCACTACTAGGAATTAGGCGTACAATCCCTTTAACACTATTTTAAAAGGTTCCGGAAGTCCTTTACGGATCCAAAATGATCTGGAATAAATAAGAAACTCATTTCCCTGGTCTCAGGACTCCAAATACGCTTTGTCCGTGGAAACTAGGATGCCTGAACAAATATTTGGTCTTGGCCAGCTTAAAGGGAGTGTCTGGCTAGACATGGTAGTTGAGCTGAGAATGCAGTTCTGTAGAGAAATTATTTAGGATTTATTTGAGACCTATATGAGCCGGTTTTACGGTGCAAATCAGTTCATTCAGCAAGAGCGAAAATTCAATTTTAAAAATTTCGGCTCACCTACCGTGTCTACTGTTTATGCAGACACTACCTTTGATGTCAAATTTTCGTTCCAATGAATAAGTACAATTCAAAATCGTAAAAGTTCTTTTAAAAAGTCGGTTTTTATTTCAAACTCCTTTATATAATGTTGTAAACACAGCAATGTAGTAATTAATAACTATCTAGGATATTACTACACTGAAAGCAATAAGTCTTGAAGTTTTTAAAAAGGGTTCTGTCATTCTTGTACGCTTAAAATTGTCATATTTTAATTAGTAGAAAAATCTTAAGTGTCATAAAATGGACTTTTTAATACACTCCAAGTATGGCATTCATTTCACTATTGGACACATTGTGATTTAAAGGTTGCAAACTCTCAAGCAAAACTATGAGAATTTTGCCATTTACTTCTTAAAAACCAAAGCTAACAACAAGTGCTCTATAGTGCTAAAATGTTCATGTAAAGTGCTACGGATAATCATAATCGTGTTAAAGCGGTAATATCAAAGCCCAAGGCGTTGCGACACTTCAAAGTCGATCCTGTCTTTAAAAAATTGATGATACTTTACATCGACAGGCTTAATCTATTTGGATATCAAAAATAACTTTTTAGATCGACTTTTATTCTTTTGTTTATTGGAATTAGGGTTTTCAAAGCAAGCGGATTTGTCCGCGTAATTCCACACAATTCCGAGCATTTTGTGAACAGTTACACACTACAGAATTCCGATTGGAATATCATGCACTGTTGTTTTCTTATTTGAATTGAATGAAATTTCTAGACCGTTTTTTAATTGTGTTTTAAACCTGGAAATGTACATTTTGGGCCTGATTCTTCTTTTCATATTTTTTCCTGGATGATGTACATCATTTAAACTCTTTCCGTATCTGAAATATTTAAATATACACATTTTAAATGTTTAAATTTCTCTTTGTTTTTACCTTATAAACAACAGACGGGGGTCTACAACTGACGCAGGAAGATAAGAATAATCATCCATTTCATAATATTTTTCCTTGCCATCGTGTTCAGTATTCATCTCCAAATCAGAATTACACAAGACATTTCTTTTGCAAGGGACTAAATTGAAATCCTTCATGTCAAGAACCTCTATTTCCCCCCTGGTCCGGGTTTTTGCATTTTCTCGTAACAAACCCAGGTTTTTCCCCCAGCGGAACGGACTCCGTTTCCCAACATGCCCGAAGCTGAATCCGCCAATTTTCTTAAGATATTCCTCATCAGCCGACCTGCTGCTCTTCTTCTCCTGGGTGTTCAAGGCCGTGTTTACAACATCCAAAGGTTCCAAGTTATCCTCAGTTCCACTTCTTTTACCAATAAGACCAAAACTGAATCCTCCAAGAGTGTTAAGGTCAGCCTCCTTGAACCCACGTCTAGTCCTGGTATTAAAGGGTTCTTTTGTGTTCATTGAATTCATGTCAGAGGCAGTAATAACCAGAATAAACTGGCATGCAAGTTGTCTTCGTTCTATTTGTTAAAGGGAGTGACTGGCTATGTATGCTAGTTGAACTGAGAGTGCAGTCTTATAGAGAAAATGGCAGGATTTATTTGATACATTTTTATAATCTATTACTGCTACATGAGACTGAAATTTCTGACAGATATACAAAAATGTTAAATTCTTAGCGACGTTTACAACTAAAAGATCAAACATAAACAACTTTTATTTGTTTCATGGTTATTGCATAAACTTGTATAAAGTTAAAAATTTATCAATTTCGGTTCGGTCCGTTATGTTCTAAAAGTGTTGAGTAAAATATTGAACTCTGCACATTTTGTACCTCAAGAAATAAAAGGCATTCAGAAAAGGAATTTCTTATATATCTTTGCATCTATCTATGTCTTAGATCAGGTTGCAAAGGTATATAGGGATTAGAAACCCTGAGCTTATGCCAAAGATTCAATTCCTTTCAATTCTTTTGTTTCCATAAAAAAGTTTGCTAATGACCTTTTATAAATAGTAGCTTTATCGGTCGTTCCATATTATTTAATTACTTCACCCTTATTCGTAAAGGAGCCGAGTTTTTGCAATAATCTCAAACTTTATAATACCTATATCTTAAAACATGATGATGAAAACCTTTGATATTTATTTATTCGGACTGAATTCATAGTTTAAAATATCAGAAGTCTACAACTTTGGTTTCAAAGATAAAGGGATGAGAAAATCTGGGTAGTGGCAAGAACTCAATTCCTTTCCATCGATGTTTGCATACGTATAATTTATTTATTTTTCAAAAACGCCTCCCTAAACAATATTTTTTATACTTAGTAAATAATAATTTGAAGGACTGTGTTAGCATGATCAGCCTAAAAATATCAAAAACTACAAATATTTCCTTTTTTACCTCCATTTCCTTTTTTGCTTTGTGGGCTCCAGCTCTTGCGACTCCGCCACTTGTTCCTCCATATCATCTTGATACATCGGAGGGGATTCCATGAATTCGTCTTTATACATCGGAGGAGATTTCTCTGAATCATCTCGATAAATCGGAGGAGAGTCCAGGGAATCATCTCGATAAATTGGAGGAGATTCCTGTAAATCATCTTGATAAATCGGAGGGGAGTCATCTGCGTAATCACCTCCATCTCTTTTAAAAGTAAGCCCCTTGATGTACCGAATGACACTTTTGCTGTCCCAAAACTTCTCAGGTTCCTCAGCTATTTTATCCGTAGGATTTATACGGGTAATGTCACCTTAAACAAAATTACACATCATACTTTTTTCATTGAGGTTTCAAATGTGTTTTAAAAACAAAACTAGTGAACGAAATCTTTTCAAGAAGCAGTATGCTTAGTTTCAAGTGACCCTCCATGCAAAGATGGCAATGTCCGATTAACAAGGGTACTCTTAAAAGTTTTCACTGATCAAGGATGGACTAGATATTAATGTTTATAATTTTAAAAACTGATTATTTTCAAATGCAGTTTCTCTATTGCGGAAACTGAATAGAAATTTTCAAAATTAAACACTCCTAATTCTAGTAAACATCGCTTCCAAATTATTATTCAGATCAAGGTTTCAAGGGTAAAAGTTCTGAATCGGGCATTGCCATCTTTGAAATAAGGGTCACTTGAAATTACGCTTACAGTCCCTTTAAGATAAATTAAAGATTAAAACTTTGAGAGGATATCTTGACACAATTCTTTATGAACTTCTGATGAAATATCAAAGTTTATTAAAGGGAAATTTGTCCGTTTCTACTTTTTACGCTGGCTTTTCCTTTAATTTTAAGTTTTGTTTCTACCTTTCATTGACCAGACTGAGGGGAGTATACCTATCCCGGGTCCCCTAAACTTCAATATTTACTTATCATTTCAAAGTGTTTTTGTGTAAATTTTACAATAAAAAAAAATAGAATATAAATTAAATAAGTTTAGCTAATATTCCCTGACAGTGTTGAGGTTAGAGTTAGGAAATGGATCTTTGCCTGAAAAGTTAATTTGAATAATTTTTTATTTCTTCAATATTTGAATAATTATTTCCCTAAAAATAGTTTAAGTTTAACGTTCTATTTGTTGCAAACATACAGGTTGGCGTTATTTTTTTATTTATAATTATTGTTTGTGAATTAAACATATTTTAAGGTTTTCATGTATTTTTATTTGATTTTAGATTTGTATAATTAAAACTATTTGAGTCAATGAGAGTAAACCTTGTTTACATTTCCCTGTAACGTACAGGGTGTCCCACGAAACATGACAGTAGCAAGACTACTTGAAGGTCGTCTTAATTTTTTATATATTTGCTGCATTTATTTGTTAACCTAATTTTAGAATTAAATAATCACAAAATACCCCTAGTCCTGGCATTTCCCAAATGTAATCTGCCTTTTTTGTGTGTTCAATATTACTCGAGATATGAAGAATTTCGTTCTGATATCGACAATTTTGGTTGTATTTAACAAAATTGAGATCTGTTCGAAATTCTTAATATTGACAGCACATAAAAGGCAGACCATATTTTGGAAATGCCAGTAGCAAATAAGAAGAGAAGCAATAATTTCAAGAGAAAAAAAATTAAAAAGTTAAAACTAATTTTGTAATTGATAATTAAAAAAGACAGCAATCATGAGGGAAGTTCCATTTTTCAATTTCTTCAAAAGCTGGGTCTTGAACCGCTGAAAACCTAACCATTTGTCCTCTTTTGATATTTCAAATAATTGTTTTACTTAAGGCTATAAAGTGAGGTTTATACTTATAATTTGCTTAATTTTCAAGGGACTTTAATTTTTCAGAGCCCGCGATTTAAAAGCTTCGGCTCGAGTCTTAATTCCTTAAACGCAGCTTTAAGACCCAATCTTAGACCCAACTCTGACGACAGCTTATGTCACGTGATTGACAGCTGCGAGATCTTAGGCTAGACTTAAGGAGTTAAGCCCAATGAAAATAAAACCGACCTTGGTTGGTTTTAGTGAACAATAAGGCTCAATGTTGGGTCTTATTCTCATCAAAACCCGGAATGCGCCAATTCCAACTATGAAAATCCGCCAAATACAGAATTAAACCGGTTTTACGAACTAAATTCTGTTGAAAAATAGATGCAACTCAAATCCGAAAGCCCGAGCCGTATATAAGGCTTAACAACAGCTTAGACCCGAGTCGTATTTTCTTGAGCTTTTTAAATCGCCGGCTCTGAACTCAGTGTTTCAAAAAAGATATTTTGACACCCAGAGTAAAATTGATTTGTTTGAATTTGTTGAAAGTTTAAAAATCATGAAAAAAAATCTTAAATAACATTAAAAATATTTTAAAGAATACTTTAAAACTGGTGCACGGGTATATTTTAACATTTTTATCATAAATGTGTCAAAAAGTTTCACCCTTACAGTGATACGATACAAATTTGCGTGCTGAGTGATTTTAAAAGTAACCTTGAGGTTGAATGGGGACGCATAAATAGTAGATCTTCACTTTTCTGAACATCTTCCCAGGAGGACAGACATTGTACAGAGAGAAGCTAAAAAAATTTAAAATGATAACAATAGTAATAATGATAGCAATGATAACAATTATAACTATGATAACGATAGCAACAATGATATGATAACAATGAAACAATGATAACAATGGTAACAATGAAAACAATGATAACAATGACAACAACGATAACAATGACAACAATGATAACAATGATAAAAATGGTAACACTGATAAAAATAATAACAATAACAATTATCACAATGAAAACAATAATAATAATAACAATGATAACAATGATAACAATGAAAACAATGATAACAGCAATAATAACAACAATAATAACGATGATAACAATGATAAAGATAATAATAATAACAATGATAACAATAATAACAATGTTTACTATGCTGACAATGATAACAATAATAACAATGATGACAATTATAAAAATTTTAACTATGATAAAAATTAATATACTTTATAAATTGCTGAACAATAATGACCTATTAATGTATCCAGCAAAGGAGAGGATTAGTAATATTTTGAAATGATGTTTAAGCATAGAACCTCTCATTGAACCTCCCCTTGAACCACTCATGGAACCTCTTCTAGATCCACCAGTGGAACCTCTCATGTAACCTCTGCTGTAAACTAAAGTAAACAATTAGCTCCAAACTAATCCTGGACTCTTAAATACCAAAATATAATCCGAATAGACCTGGGCATACAAAGAATTTAATGTGAATAGACCTGGGCATACTAGGAATTTAATGTGAATAAACCTGGGTAGTCTAAACTAAACTTGTTTAGTCTAGACTAGTCTAGTTTAGTCTAGGCTAGTCTAGTTTAGTCTAGGCTAGTCTAGTTTAGTCTAGGCTAGTTTATTTTAGTCTAGAATAGTCTAGTTTAGTCTAGACTAGTTTATTTTAGTCTAGACTAGTCTAGTTTAGTCTAGTCTAGTTTAGTCTAAAATAGTCTATTTTAGTCTAGACTAGTCTAGTTTAGTCTAGACTAGTCTAGTTAAGTCTAGACTATTCTAGTTTAGTCTTGACAGGTCAAGTTTAGTCTAGTTTAGTCTAGTCTAGTCAAGCCTAGGCCACTAAATCTAGTCTAGTCTAGTTTAGTCTAGAATAGTCTATTCTAGTCTAGTCTAGTCTAGTCTAGTCTAGTCTGGTCTAGTCTAGAATAGTCTATTCTAGTCTAGTCTAGTCTAGTCTAGTCTAGTCTAGTCTAGTCTAGTCTAGTCTAGTCAAGTCTAGTCTAGTCTAGTCTAGTCTAGTCTAGTCTAGAGAGCGGTAAATCCTACCTAACAAAAATAAACCCCAAAATTAAACTTTTAAAATTTGTTTTAAAAAAATTGTGTCATGTGTCCATCTCTACTTAGTAAGCCTGTCAATATTCGTGCAGAAAAGCATCAACAAGCTTATCTGGACAACATAACACGGATTAGTCAAAAAGCCAATAATTAATAAAATAGAAATCCATTTTTTTGTATAACGTTTTCACATTTCTTTGTCAGCAAACTTTTATTTTTAAGTTTGACGTTTGTTGTGTTTTCGGATTAACCAAATGGGGTAAAAATAACATCGAATCCGGCTTGAAATGTTTTTTGATCTCTGTAATACTCGTCTTTTTCTTTTAATCAAAAATACTTTACGTAAAGATAGTTAAAGTTTAATTTCAAATGTTTGACAGTCTTGTAATAGATTACCAAGAGAGGAAATAAAATAGATAGATAGATACAAAGTCGGCCAGCTACATGACTGGAACTGTACAGAGCGATGTAATTTCCCGGATTTGTGAGATTGAAATGGTAAAATCTATCTTGAGCTCAGCGGTGGGCCTTACAGACGACATGGGAACAGTTTTAATTTAGTTTTTTTTTAAGATTCCTGGTCATGGCAATATAAAACTCTGAAACACAAACTACCAAAAATACATTGTTTTTTTTAGGTAATTGTTATCTAGAAGTTTTTCTCAGTTTGTATTACAGAAGTTTTTCTCAGATTGTATTACAGGAGTTTTTCTCCGATTGTATTACAGGAGTTTTTCATGTGGTCTATCTTCTATCTATCTATCTATCTATCTATCTATCTATCTATCTATCTATCTATCTATCATACTGATGATTGCATAAAAGCATGAAACAATTTGTTTATGAATAAAATGTTATAAGAAGATTGTTGCGTTTCAACTGATATATCTATGTATATATGTATCTATCTATCTTTCTATTTATCTATCACCGTGAGAAATATATTGACCGGGCGAACAAATCTCCAAACATCTCATTATCCTAACCCTTACTTTTCTATATCTTTCTATCTTTTAAATTTTTTAATTTCTCTCATTAATATTGTGTATATATTTATTATATTGTTATATTCTTCTTTCTATCCATATTTTCATATTTGCATTGTTTTCTTTAAAATTCGGTGAATATACAAAATTTCAAACTAACAAGAGAATTTTTAATTTTACAAAAAGTTATTTTTTAGTTAAAAATGTCAGAACAAATAAAAACTCGAATAAAAAAGTAAAAAACTTCTTCTTCAAAATTTATTAAAAAACAACAATTAATTCGGTGATGGTGATGGACCAAACCTCTGTAGAGTAAAAAAGTAGATGTTAGTTCCACATTTATTGAAAATATATTTCGGTCTGGGTTGACCCTCGTCAGTTCTAACGATATAATAACCATCAAAATCGGTAAAAAAAAAAAAAAAAAAATCACAAGAAAATAAACAAACAAAAAAGATTATTCAAAATAAAAATTTGGGCTGTTAAAAGGGAAACGAACTCAGACTATAAGCTGGAAAAAAGATACTTTGCAAATATTCACTTTTTTAAAAATTTTTTAAGGACAATATATGCTTTTCTGAGTGTGTGAAACAGGCATTATTGTTTTTAAATTTTATTATTTTATATTATAATCTATGGTGTTTACTCATGGATTGTAAATAAACTCTTTTATAATAAATTGTTTGATTAGATAAGTAAGGTTTTTACCAGATCTGCCAACCCTAGGCCATACTTCTTAATACCTAGTTAATCATTGTAATTATGTAAAGTATAAAAACTTTAATTTGGGTTTGTATAAGCTATATATATACTGCTTCATATACACTAAACCATTATAGTTTACTTATACACCTCCCTCTGTTCCATTTATACCCCTCCCACTCTTTATCCCTTCCTCGATCTTCCCCCCTCATTAATCCCCCCCCCCTATTCAACCGAACTAATTAGTATTTTACGTTATAGAGGGTCAAATTAGTTTAAACTTAGGTCTATAGGGGTTCTCAGAATAAACTATTTAGCTAAAAGGAGCATGCACGTGAAACTAGATAGAGCTATACATGTCCGGGCTGTATCCTAATAAAAGGAGCACATAATAAAAGAAGCACGTGAAACTAGATAGAGCTAAAAATGTCCGGGCTGAATCCTAATAAAAGGAGCACGTGAAACTAACTAGAGCTATAGATGTCCGGGCTGAATCCTAATAAAAGGAGCACGTGAAACTAACTAGAGCTATATATGTCCGGGCTGTATCGTATTAAAAGGAGCACGTGAAACTAACTAGAGCCATATATGTCCGGGCTGTATCCAAATAAAAGGAGCACGTGAAACTAACTAGAGCTATATATGTCCGGGCTGTATCCTAATAAAAGGAGCACGTGAAACTAACTAGAGCTATATATGTCCGGGCTGTATCCTAATAAAAGGAGCACGTGAAACTAACTAGAGCTATATATGTCCGGGCTGTATCCTAATAAAAGGAGCACGTGAAACTAACTAGAGCTATACATGTCCGGGCTGTATCCAAAAAAATGGAGCACGTGAAACTAACTATAAGAGCTAAACATGTCCGGGCTTTATCCAAATAAAAGGAGCACGTGAAACTAACTAGAGCTATATATGTCCGGACTGCATCCTAATAAAAGGGTACGTGAAACTAATTAGAGCTATACATGTCCGGGCCATATCGCCATAAAATTAGAAATATTTGCATCAAACAAAATACAATGTAAAAGCGCGAAAAAAGCCTGAATATAAGACAAATGTTCATACTGTTAATATTCTAATAAACATACTAAGAACATGCTTAGATATTCTTGTAACAACCCTATTCTTACGGAGGAGTGGTTGGGGGGGGGGGGAATTTTATCATCTGCTCAAGTTCTTTTGATCTAAAAAGCATTGGTTTAAGGGTACTCAAATGTTATGACTTTTCTTAAAGGTTCTCAAGGTGATAGTTACGAATCTTACCTCAATCTGTTGCGTTTATAATAAGGAGAAAAATGATAAAAACGACTCATACAGGAGCACGTAGCGTCCAGACAAATTCAAGAAAGTTGTAATATTCGACTCGGATCGTAAGAAAAATCAATTTAATTCCAAACAAATCAATCAACCTATAATCCTCGATTCCTTTTCGTCAGTTCTTTAATTAGACATCACATTTTGAACAAGACATAAGGAGATGATCAATTAATGCGACAAAGCTAGTTTTGACTTTGTTATCTGGAAAACTACTCTCGTATTGCTTTAAAGCAAAAGTAAGAGAAAAGATATTAGAAATACAAAATTGGTATAGATCTTCTCAATAGCTATTTGATATAAAGAGTAAAGATTGAAAAGATGTAAGATTTTGATATTTTTACTTTAGTAACGTGACCGCCTGCAGGGGTTTGAAAAATAAGGAAAAGAAAATACAACGCAATTGTATTTTTTCCATCATTTTTTTAAATTTTAGATTCTTAAACCTAGTTTTCAGTGCAGAGTGCTATATATTAATAACATAATCGAGTGTAAATGATCTCAATTCTGTTTGAACCATTTCTGAAATTGAAAATATTTTGTTTATGGTCAGACTTATTTATTAGAGCAATTTATTTCTGGGTTGAAAGTGCACTGTGAGGTATAAGTACTCTTTAGAAATAGATGGTTTAATGATGGAAGTGATAATAACTAAAAACATAAAATAAAGTAATAATATAAAACACAGTAAACAGATGACTTTATTATAACACGTAAAGAACCTTTCTAATAAAAATTACGTTTCTTTGTGAATTTTCGCATTAAAAACTCTAAAAAATTGAGTCTTTGCCACAAACTCTAATTATCTAATCCTATATCTTTATAACCTAAAAGTGTAACCCTTTGATATGTCAAAATCAGAGTTTGTGGCAAAAACTCAATTTCTTCAAGGTACTTAAAGCTTTAAAAGTTAAGAACGTAAGTTTGCCAATATTTCAATAATATATATTTTTATGAATTATTAGTTGTAACTATGAGTCAGGGATTCATTCAAAATTTTCGAGTAAACGAAGACAAGCGTAACAAAATTTTAACTGAAAACCAAGAGGCCACAATATTTCTTAAATAAAAGATGGGTTTTATCTTCTTTTAGATGCAGGGGTGGATACAGGATTTAAGTGAGGGGGGTGCTAGATTTATTTCGGGACAAAAAAATCCAGATTTAGAAACCAAAAGACGCGTCGCAGGTGAAAATATTTTTAAGATAGATATTTTTTCTGTTTTGCACTAGGTTTCCTTTCCTTTTAATGCTCTTGAGGAGCTATTCTTAAATCTCAGGGGGTGCAAAGGTCCTGCCGCCCCCCCCTGTATCTGGCCCTGTTCAGATGTG